GCATTGTTTCCAAGGCAACAGTGATATTGGATACCCCTTAGGTCTGTTTCAGAGAAGCCTGCAGAGAAGTTGTTGACAATTGCTAGAGGTTGTGATAGTGAGAAATTACATAGTGTTCCTTTGGCAACACATGCTAATGGACAGTTCTAATGTTGGAGCCCTTCTAAAGTGAAATTGTGAATATCTACACTGGAAAAATGTAGTCATAAATGACCTCAGATATATGTTGCTTGTTAAGGTTTAGCGAGCTCACATGTTATTCAAAAAGGTAAATAACTTTTTTCTTTTAAATAGGTGATAAAATAACCATGCTTCTCTTGTAAATTAAAAAAAAAATTTGTAAGTGACCACATTGGGTTGGGTATGTATCCACATAGTACAGTGCTTGCCTAGCATTTGTGAGACTCTGGGTTCAATCATCAGCATTGAAAAAACTGAACACATTTCAAAAGCAAGAATGATGACCCTGGTTGTTAGGTGTGTGTAATCTCAAATTTCCACTTCTAGACTTACCCGATTGAGCTATTTTGAAAGAATGTCAGAAATGCAGTTGGAGTGTAGAATCTAAGCGGAGGAACTTAAACACAGGGAGTGGGATATATTCCTTAATTTATCACAAGAATTAATGGCAACTCATTTGGTACGGCAGTAGCTAATTTAGAGAGAAAAATATAGTACAGGCTTTCAGAAGAATACCTGTATTTGGTCAGGACTCAGAGTTTTTTCTTTTGCTTCATGCCTCATACATCCAGCCCTAAGCTCACCAAGCAGCATCCCTTGCAGGTCAGCTATGAGTCTGGTACAGAACAGTCTGGGAAGCCTGCAGTTGGGTGTCTTGTCTGCCATGCCACATAGACGTGGCCAGGCAGAAATGCCTGTTCTCCTCTTTTTCAGGTATTTCAGTTTAAAACAAGTTGAAACTGGATAGCCAGCATTTCCTCTCCATTAATGTAACTCTGATTTATATTTGTAATAAACAATGGTTAGCGTATCTATGTTTTTTAGTATTTTATATTCTTTACGTTTTCAGCAGAAATTTTGGTAGTGCATTCCTTGTATTAATGCATGTTTTAACTGACGCGCTGACAAAAGCTATTTTTGGTAGAATGGTCTTTCCACCTCTCTTTATATCAGAAGATCTCAGAAACATAATTTGTTCTTGTGCTACAATAAGATATAGATGGATCAAGTGGTAGACATCAGCTGGGCATGGTGGCATATACCAGTAGCCTTAGCAGTCTGGAAGGCTGAGACAGGAGGATTGTGAGTTCAAGCCCAGCCTGGGCAACGTAGTGACTTAGTGAAACCCTGTCACAAAAATTTAAGAACTGGGGGAAAAAGGCTGAACATGAAGCTTAATTTGAAGGCCCTGGGTTCAATCCCTAGTACTGAAAAAAAAATCCAAAAAACAAGTAGGTATCTATAGGCCTTGCTTCTTGATGTTTTACAGTCTGTTTACACTTTTATGTCCCAATCCAGTAACATTTAGGTTTCAAAGAAAACCACCTTTTCTTTTAGCATGCTTTGAGAATAATGTTCAAGCTGGTGTAAAGTTTACTGGCAGAGGTGGAAGAGTCTGACTGTCATGATGGCTGAAACTAGTCATGTGCTTCAAGAGTTATTGATATCAACAAAGGACAATCTTTTTTTTTTTTTTTTTTTTTTTTTTTTTTTTTTGTCTTTTTCCTTTTTTATCAGTACCAGGGATTGAACTCACGACTGCCTGCTTGCAAGGCAGGTGCTTATGCCACTGAGCTAAATCCCCAGCCCCAACAAAGGACAATCTTTACAGTGAAAGTGCAAAAGATAATCTGTAAATATGGTAGACCTAGAATAACACAGTTATTTACCAGTGCTTTACCAGTCTTTAAATTTCATACATTAAAATTTGATTTTCCCCTCTTTAAGCCAGAACTAACACAAGCCATTATCAGTGAGAGAAGTTGGTGAGTGTGGCATGGTCAAGGAGACCACAGGAATAGTTTTGTTTCCATTCTGAAGAAAATGGTAGAAGGATGGACAGAGTCCTGTAACTCAGCACTGTCTTCCACTCCACTGATTGCTGTTTACTTTGAAAATCCCAAGTAAGAAGAGAGATGGAGAAATTCTTCCCTTGTGGCGGGAGACTGGCTGATGTTGGAAAGTCACTGTTCCTACACTACATGATGCATATGCACTTGGAAAGGCTTAGTATTAGATTGGGTTGGCTGTAGATGAACAATGCACTTCTTGTTTTTGTAATTGCAGTTAACTTTAATTAGAGGCTGAGAGCAGAAAGCTAGGAGCTGCTTGAGGAGCCTGGCAGGGGATTAATGGGTTATGCCATCCACTGCAGCTTGGTCCTTGCAGGACATGTGCCAGGGCAGCCTGGCTTTGTCTCTCTGTGGAAGGCATCTTTTCCTGTAGAAATCACTGGTACATCTATCACATCACGTAGCTTTTGTTCTCTGGCTGGAAAGGCTTAAAAGGCCACCTCAGGCCCACTCCTCTTTTAGGAAAGGTCACTGAAGTTCTGCACCTGTAACATCCATAAGCTTAAGGAGCCTAAGGTTGGTGAGTGGGCAGGGTGCCAGCGGGCTTTGCCAAATGCCAGAGTTTGAGCTCTGATAATTAATGAGATTCAAGAGAACATTTCCTTGGCATACTTTACTGCCTGAACCAATTGACTGACATGCTCCAGAAAAATCTCATTTTTTTCCCCCCAACATTTGTATGGTTGTCAATAGCAGTACTGCCCTTTTCTCAACAGGGAAGAGACTTTAGATGTTTTATTAAAAATTCTTTAAGTGCGTACATGTTCGAAATTGAAACCTACTTTGGCTTTGTCTTTATACACGTAGTGAAAATTGACTTAATTTTTTCAAGAGGGAGAATAAAACTCAGATTATTCTGGATTTTAAGAGTGTTTATATTTGCAGGGTTTACCTTAAAGAAAAAACCTCTTAGGTTTTTCCTATTTTGGTTAGCTGATGAGAGGATCTAGGGTCATGGTCTTAAACATTACAAATTGTTTCAGTTAAAGCAGTGAACAGTATGCTAAAAGAGAAGGCAGCATCTGACACGTAAAACATCTTCTAAACTACTTAATGTTATGGGAGAAATTGTTACAGCCATGAGCATTTCTTTAAGAAAACTAATACTATATGAGACAACCATTTTCTCCCACCTGGGTATAATATTTAACTTTTATTTGCAATGGAGGCCTAATCTCAGAAAAATTCCTTCTCTAAGATGACAGATCCATAAAAAGAAAAGGGTTGGAGTGGAGAGCATCCTCATAACTTTTTTTTTTAAATTTTATTTAAGGAGAAAAAGAAAAAAAACAGAAGAAGGGTACAAGTAATACAGAATCTCACTGAATTTTGTTGGATCATTGAACAGAACTGTTTGCAGTCTCACTGTTTGAATGTCCGTTTTGTATGCTTTAATTTTGTAACTTGAACAACTATTTCTAAGATGACAATATGTAATCTATTAACTAGTGATTTCCTATTATTTTTTTGAGATTCTGTATTACCTCATAACTCTTTTAAGAATTTTAATGTTAAAATGTGCACAGCAGAAAATAAGATTGACCTGACGCAGGTTTGAACATACATACATAAAAATGTAAGCTGAAGAGTGTTCAGCATGCAAGCCACAAAACCTGGGATTAGATGAGGCCCTTTGACAGGAGAAGCACGCTGAGTCTGGAAAGGCAAGGTGTGCAGGCACGGGCCAGGTATCCCCAGCTGCAGACAGGTACCCTTCCATGCAGCACCCTCCCGGCATCCTCCCCACCGTGCATCTCCTTCTCTGTGCTTCAGGGCCTCCGGTTATTAGCTTGATAACGTGACAACAGGAAAAAGCTGGTGTTCAGCTGGGACCCTCTGGAACAAAACATGCTCAGGAATACTGAAATACTTCAAGAACTCAGGGTACTTAACAGAAAACCTGGCAATCAAAGAGTAGAAAAAGCACCATGGAGCTGAAGAATTCCGTGTGTGGTCCCTGCTTGTCTCATTTCCCCTCTCATCATGACTAGCTGTCTGTTGTGCTGTCCAATGGTACCCGTCCTAGGTCCTCCTCCATCTGCGGTCTCCTGAGTAGATCCCAGGCCCAAGTTCAAAGCCTTAGGCGGGAATCATCTTGCTCAACCTGGGTCTGAGGTTCTTGATTTCTTTGGTGGTCTCTGGATGGGAAGGATAAGCGTTGGTTGGGAGGTGATATATGGAGGGGGGTTAACCTTGGACCATGGCCCTATAAGATCCCAAGGAGCGGAATAGCTCACATAGAAGGGACAAAAGCATTCTACATGTACCATTAGCATATTTTTTAAAATTTTTATTTTAAAGGGGGTAAAATTAAACAACAAAATAGGACATAAGAAAGCAATGTAGGAGATATAAGTTTCAAAGCTAGATGACCTGAAATCTTCACTATCATATTGTCTCTTTTTTTCTTCCAAATAGTTGTCCATGTCTTCGCATACAGAGAATTCATACAAAACTGTATAAAACTGATCCGAACAGAATGAGGAAGACATTTTAGGTCTTCAAAATCAGACAATAGGGAAGTCACTAATGGCTGTGGTAGAGTCTCTTGTTCTCTTCAAAATAGCTGTCCATACTTTCATGTATATGACATTCAACAAAACAATACAGGCTAAAGTAACACCATTAATTAGAATAAAGCAAAAAAGGGATAAAAGTATTTACCTTCAAAGAGATGGTAGAAGGAAATCCCGTATTTGTTAATTGCCTATGGTCAGCCTCTCAAGGGATGTCCACATCACTGGCTCCCACTTGCTGAATGGGTGGTGGTGGTGGTGTGATGTTTGATTCTTAGCCCATGTGCCGGTAGGCTCACAGCTACGGGGTAGGGGTGGGAGTTTGCTTGGTTTCCCAGCACTCCAGGTCCCAGCATGGTGTGGATCCCAGTAAACACCTGTAGCTCCCATCCTAGGCCACCAGAGCCTGCTATGATCACAGCCGCTCACGGGGGACGGAGGGGTTACTTCAAGCTGTTTCTTTCTAATGAATTGACCATTTCACTGCCCAAATTCTGAAACGGCCAACAGACTATAGAAAGACATCTCTTTAGGCTCCTTGCTTGAAACCAACAGGGTCAGGAAGCTGCCGGCCTTGATTCAGGGCCAGCTATTAGCATATTGCTGCGGGTTTATTCATCACCCTGTACTCTGAGGGAGTAAACCTAGATTTAGACCTAAAAAACCGCAAGCCACACAGTGAGTGAAAGGGAGTCGTGGACTTCGGTTAATTCCATAGTGAGCGTGTGCAGTGAGGCCCTGGCTGTGGCACCTGCTGCGTCCAGTGACCTAAGTCTTTGTCAGGCAAACCCCTTCCACAGCAGTAATGATGCTTGAGATTGGATGATCTTGGCAAAATGCTAACGTGGTGCAAAAGCCTTCTGCTTAATCTCTGGCTTGAAAGCCTGTATTCTAAATTCTAAGCCCTTCTATCCACTGACAACAGCCAATCCCTTTGAAGTAAGAAAAACATAGGTTATAAAGTATTAACCCTGGTTCCCTCATTTGTTACTTACTTAGGTGCCTATTTAAATTAGGAATAAATCTTAGTCCACAAACCAGGAATCTGGGAACTATTGAAGTTTTCTCAATTGATTTAACTTTGACTTTGAGCTTTTCCAATGTAGTAGAAATGTTCACCTTGATGGTTTTTCAGCTGCTTTCCCATTCATTCCACACTCTGGGGGTTGTGGTCAGGCTGCAGATCAGGCTGCAGACCTTATGGCATGTGCTGTTATCTGAAGCCACTGATTCCTGTCCTCTCTGGGGCACCTGTAGGCTGAGAGGGTGATACTGCCTCGTCATACTCGGAGTCCAGGCCCAGCAGCCAGCCTTTCTCTTAGGACCCCTGCACACGGACAGCAGATACGGCCTCTACTGCCTGAGTCCCCCACTGTCTTCCAAGAGTCTCCTAGTCTCGGGGGATACTGCTTTCTACTCCAACCTTTTTTCCCCAAGAAAACCCTACCAAAACTAGCCTGAAGCAGAAACAGCAGCAGCTGCTTCTCTCAGGAGTGAGGAAAGTTCGGATAGAAAGGCGGACTGTATTAGAAAGCCTACTGCCCAGAGTCAGGGCCTGTCCTGGTGCTGCTGCGGCCTGGCATGTGGTGGGCTCTGCTTCTCTGTGATCATCTGGCTGTCATCTCCCTTGGTGGCTGCCAACTGAGGCGTCAGCAACATCTCCTCATACCCTGTGATTTGCAGGGGGTTTGTACCTGCTCCAGACTGGCAGGGTGTGAGACATTTTAATGGTTTTCCAAAGCCGGTTTGGAAACCTGTTTATTCCTCCAGGGAAGCCTTCACATTCCTAACCATTGTGTATAAATCTTCAGTGAATCAGTAAAATACATATATTTCATGTTTCTGGCAATGATTAATTTAGTGCTATTAATATTTTTTCATAGAAACTCATCTCCTAAGCTCACACACACTGGCACTTTTTGCCCTCAGAATCTGCAGTGACAAGAGTACTGTGAGCTCCCAACAAGTATCAGCTGTCTTTCTCTTGCCATTGGTTCAGACGCTGTCTTGCTGCCGCACAGCTGATATGTTAAAAAAATAAAAATAAAAAAAACTGTGGGGGGAAGCTAATTAGGAGTACTTAAAAGGGATCCATATAAGAGATGGCAAAGCCTATACGCATTCATCAAAATACCCTGGGCAACTAGCATATTAGAGAGGTCCTGTGAATACTTTTTCATCTAGAGTTTCAGTACAGGTTATACATGAAATATTTATAGAGTGCAGTGTTTTTCCTGTGACAAAAGCGTGGTCTCAGGTATGTGTTGTTACTATGGAAGGTCCTAATGTATAAGCAGCTGAAGTACCTTCAAGGGTATTTGAAAGAAAGTAAGGCATTGGGTTGAGTTTACAGTGTTTGATAAAGTAGCTGTGGTTCTAGCCAAAAATATTTACCTTATCATCAGAGTGGTTGATAATAAAGTATGTATCACAGAAGAAGGAAAAGAGAATTTACTTAAAAGAATGTATGGTGTAGAAGATAGTAACTTGTTTGGTGCAGTGGAGAAACTGGAGTAGTCTTTGGAAGCGTGTCTAAGAAAGAATGTAAAACACACCTGAGGATCGAACTCATGACCTTGCACTTGCCTGGCAGGTGCTTAAGCCACTGAGCTAAATCCCTGGCCCCAAGGGAATAAAGCTTTTTAAGGTCAACATGGAGCTCATTTATTTTTTTGTCTTTTTTTTTTTTTTTATCAGTACCAGGGATCAAACTCACGACCACACACTTGCAAGGCAGGTGCTTGTGCCACTAAGCTAAATCCTGAGCCCAATACAGCTTATTTTTTAAAAATAAAAAACTAATTATCATTTTACTATTGGATTCCTATTACAGTTTGTCTGTAAAAGAGGAATGATAATACCTGCTTAATAGGCTTATCACACGGACTAAAAGAATATGGTACCTTATTGCTTACTGTGTAGCAGTGATGTTTGCATGTATGTATGTATGTGTGTATGTGACTATCTACTCATGACTTACCTATATTTTCTTCAGTCTTCAAAGTGAACCAATGAAATTGTGATGTTCCCATTTTGGAGATAAAAATAAGCTGGGAAAACTGTTTGCAGTAATATGATAAATACATAATATACTGTACTACTGTCCTTACAGAAGGATACCTCAGTATTCATATGATAAGGATCCTTTCTGGAACAGGGTCAAATTTGTTTTGTCCTTTAGAACCAAAAGTTCCCGACTAATACACAGCTTTTCCCCCATTATCAGGGTACTGAGCTAACTGTGTTGATATAATAAGGTATTACAAATCAGTAAGATTTATACACTAGTAGAAAAACAGATATGAACAAGAAGTATTTAAAAAGCTGGTGCTCAATCTCAAACATGTTAATTTTAAAATTTTTTTCATAGAATACAATATTAAAAAAATAAATGATACTCCCCAGCTCAGAGGGGTTGTAGAAGAGTGGATTTTGTCTTCTGCTCGTTGGTCATACATTCTGCAAAGCAAATTAAATACCTTATATTTCCCATACTGTTAGCCTGTAACTTTATCCCAGGCAAATACTTAATAATAGATAGAAGAGCTCCATCTCAGCATTATTTATATTAAACATTGGAAGTGACTTTGGTGCTTCAAAGAGATATATTAAATGAATTACAAGGCAGTCATTAATAATGAAGGTGCAGAAGACTATTAAATGACACAGTATTTCTTCCAAAAGTGCTGGATCATGAAAGAACTGAAAGTTTGCAGAGGATTTTATATTTAATACAAGAAACAACTATCCCAAGGGTATGGATGGAAGTAGATGCTGGGTTTAGAAATACAAAACCAGAGAACTTTATAGACTTGATAGTGTTCTGTAAGGAGGAATAGAAATGGCAAATGTAGTGTGATCTGTAAGACACAAGATCTCATTGATTTTGGTTTTGGCTGTGGGGATTGACTAGAGCCTTCACACTGAGCCACATTTCCAACTCATTTTTTAAATTTTAACTTTGAGACAGAATGTCACTAAATTGCCTGGGCTGGGCTTGAAGTTGCAATCTTCCTGCTTCCAGTTTCCCAGGCTGCAGGAAATCTAGGCATGCAGGACCATACCAAACTTCATCATTTTTATTCTGCAACAGCCTTAGGGATCAAGATGATCCCTACTTTCTAACATAATGAGAGTGAGTTTTGAGAATGGCTGGGGGAGGATTTATGTCTAGGGTGTCTAACTTCAGAGCCCAAAGAGGATGGAGAAACTGCGATTAGTTGTTCATTGTACAGTCAAGAAAACGGAGTCCCAGTACCACAGGTTCTAGAATGAAAGCAGTGGCTCTGCAGCAAGAGGCCAGCTGGAGAATGAGAAAGTGTAACTAGGTGGGGTATAGCCAAGAGTTGCGGTAAAAGAGGCAGTGCCAGAGTGAGAAAGGAGCAGGACGTTCATGGAAAGGGTGTGGTGGGCAGTGATGGAGAAGGATGTCTTAAAAACAGCTTCAAGGTTTTATTAATCCCAGGAATTTCCACTCACAGTGCTTATGATGGAGTGGCCTGAGTCTGAGTCTGAAGATAACAAAATGAAAAATTTGGGTGGTATACACGAGTCGATGGAGGTATATATTAGCAAAAACAGATGAGGAGAGAAGTTTAGGGCTGAAAGTGAAGGGTAGTGGAGGGGCAGCTCTTTTCTCTGAGATAACGGTGACTGGTGTTTGCAGTATCCTCAGTTCTTTTTGTTCGAGCTCGACCTTGTCACCCCGACAGGAAAGTGGCACAGCTACACTTTGATTTCTGAAATGCATAGCTGTCTCTCATAACTGATTCCTCTCTCCCGTGGGTCTCAAGCCTGGAAAGGAGTATTGTTCCATCACATTTCCCTCAGCGAGATTCTTTTTTCTTTCAGAATGATTGTCACCAGACTGGATGAACTGCTGAACAAAACAATTGAATTGCTTCCATCTTACCCACACTATAAGAAATTGTCCACAGAGTTGAAATATTTATTGCAGTAACATCTGGCTTTATATAATTAAAGTGAAATGTACCTTTTATCTTATAGCTATCATGAAGTTGTCATGTTTCTGTCCTTTTACTTTGCTTTTGAGAGGCATCAATCTATTCTCTTCCCCTAACCTTTATGTTCTAATAATCCTTTCAGAGTGAACTTAATCTGGAAAATGTACAAGAGTGCAGAAAAAGACTTTTATAGGATGAAATATGAGCAGCCTGTTTGACTGTGCAGAATAAAAGTGAAATATATTACTCTTCAGATTAAATCAGTAAGAATACTCCATTTCCCTAAACACAGTATGCATACTAGAAAATCTTAGTAGGTCAAAAATACTATTATTAAGTCTTCTTTTAAAAAATGGAGGTGTTTAAATATTCATATATTGCTGGATTTGAGTAATGAAAATCTAAGCAACAGAGAATTTAAAAGGAAAAAACTTGTTATTCCACTTAAGAGACTTTTAAAATTCCATAGCATTTTCTGGTCTTTGTAGTGTTTGTGTTCATTTATAAGATTTTTCCAAATATGTAACATTTATCATAGGCTTCACCTGTGTCAGACTCTGGAAATACGCTAATTTATTCTCACGACTCTGTGAGGTTGATATGTTCATCTCCTTTTGTGTGTAAG